GCGCATCGGCAGGATGACGACCCGAGAGATTTTGGAGAGGGTCTTCGGACCGCAATGAGCTCAACTCATAGCGTCATCAAAAAGACGTCTTCTTTGGCCTTCAAGAGACCGATGAGCCAGTCGTCTGGAATACAGTCTTGATCCGATTTATTTCATCATAATTTGCAGGCTTTGCAATCAACAGTCTTTAGGCAGCTTTAGACGATAACGTCTTTTCTCGTCAGTCTAATTCCAAGCTCTAATTTAAATCACACATGAATATATACACACACACACACACACACACAAGCAGGCACACCTAAGAAGCAAACACAAAGTCAAACACACAACCGCACAGACACATTGGTTTGGTGTCAACTTAGTGCGGGCGAAATGGATGCGCCAAATCGGCTTTACGCAAGGTCTCGTCAGAGAGCTTCTGGTCGGGCCGTAATTAGGTGGACCGGGAGGCGTCCGTTAAGTCAAAACAGCAAACGGATTATGCACTCGAGAGTGTGTCGTGTTGCCGGGCGCCAAGTAACCTGGCCTTTCTTAACCGTTCATGCAACTGGCCATAACATAATGTTAATACGTCTTATGTTGTATGCATGTATGTATGGATGTATATATGATATGATAGTCAAGAATAATGCGTAGCATGCATGCATGTTTACATGTGCATATTCGAATTTAAATGTCATAAAGTAGTATATTATTGTATAGTATGCAATATGTATGCCTTCAGACTTGTATGTATGCATAGTTCCGCATGTGTATATGGTTGTATGTATAATATGTAATATGTATGTTTGCAGGCATGTGTATATGTGTGTACGTTTGTATATATGCCAAAGTAGTGTATTATATTGTCTATTACGTTATAAAGCGTAGTAGGTATGTATCCGCAACCCGATTAGGTAGTCTTAGAGCGAACTGTCGTTTAGGAATGTGAACACATCCGACTGGTCTCCATCACGAGTTTGGCTTCGGATGAGATGAGAAAGACTTTGAATAATACACAACCATGTGAGTTTTTTTTGCCAAAATCAAGTATTCTCTTCACCTCCACTTTGACGGACTCGCCAAAGGTCGAAATGGTTGTGGCTCCATGAAAATATGGCCTTTTTGGCCGTACATGCTGACGACGACTGTTCTCAGCTTCAAAATGTCTAGTTGAAGCAGAACCGATCTGGTAAAAAGTAACCGTCCCAGTGAACTGAACGCTGACCATAAACACGCTAGCACATTTGTGTTCGTGTTTGTGTTTGTGTGAGAGAGGAAAGGTGTATGCGTGTGACAAATCTTCAGAGTTTGGCATTTCTAGGCACACCGACCTGTAGAAGGGACAAATCTGATGCAAGCTTGTCCTTCGCCTTCTCGTGACTACCTTCTGAACACTTTGCTACGGCATTCGGTGAAATATGTTCCCGTACCGTCCCAGTTCCGTCGACTTGGTGTCAGGCTGGAGTGGACTTTTCTGTTTCACATAACATGGCCATTGTGTGCAAACAATACGGCAAAATATCACATGCATAGGCATGCTTCACAGTTACAGGATCATAGGAATGCATCAACTTACTCCATCTTCAGGAATGTATGTTGGGCATGAAGTAAGCAACCAAAGCATGGAAACGCAAAGTTGGCTACAAAAAGTGAATCTGATTCCAGACGGTCCGTCTTTTTCTTGATTTCTGGTATTTTGTGTGTTTTCTCGTAGATGATGCTTTCTTGTTGTGATGACGTCTGTCACGGCGGTACAGACGAATGCTTAGCGCGGATTCATCGGATTTGTGGACCGGTGAGGCGAAAGGTTGTTCGCGCAATCCAATGATCTTCACTCTCACCGGTCAGGCCATTTTAGACATTTGTTCAAACCAACTTTTTCTTCGAAACGGAAAGCCGACTCAAATTAACTCGCTGAGGAATTCCTCTAAAACCATATTCTCCTCAATTACGGAGTTGGCAGACACGGAAAAAGGCTCGTCACAGATTTATGAGGAAAAATTAGGTTTCGAAGCATGCTTTAGTAACTTTCCATTTCAAAGTCAAAGTTGGCCGGTAGTCATTTGTGAACCGATAACCGAAGGGGACTTGCCGCTGAGGGAAGACTGTTATTTTCTTGGTCTATTGTATATGGTGCGTTCTTTCGTAAAGTTCCGATTCTCGCTCCGGTGAGGAATGTCACGGCGGCACAGACGAAAGACGAGTACCGATTCATCCACATCCTAGGGCTTCTTCGTACAATCCAGCAGTCTTAACTGGGCGGCAATCCTGCTTCGGGTTTCAAGTGAGACCTTTTCACGAATTCCTTCAAATTCACTTTTTCTTCGAAATCGAAAGTCATGTCACCATAAATCACGACGAAATTATTCAAGCCCACTTTTTTCATTATTTGGGCTTCTTGAGGTAGAGATGAGATGGAATTAGCATAACTGAAGGAATGTTTCGTTAAAGCCTCAGTATCCAGTGCAAAATTGCAGATTCGTGCCATCCACAAAGAATCAGAGGCGAAAAATAGCTCCCGAGCACGTTTTGCCGAATCAACGATCTGATGAATCCGAAAGAGTGCCTTGCGGATCCACAAAACATTGTTCAAGAAAGCTGGGGTATGAAGACATGAGGGAAGGAAACTAAAAATGACCCAATTTGGCCGAAAGAGT